TAGATGTCGCCCGCACAATGTCAGAAACTTTCGTTCATAACTCTATAACCAATCGACTTATCATTACGAAATCAACAGGAATATGCAGATAATAAAAGCAGATGTTTTGGTGCTGAAAAATCATTTTTTGTCCCCGATAACTGTATTTATCTCCTTAAAATCGTGTTCAAAAGGGGAAATAATTTTATGTCCAATATTGTAAAAACGTGGAGAAAAAGTGCCGAAGAATAAAATAAAAGGAAAAGGTGGGGAAATGTAATAATATCAAGAAAATATGCAAGGAACTTATTCCCGATATATGTGAGTAGCATATTGACTGGACTCCTGTATTAGCTTGGATGGCTAGTAGCTCTGTGCTGGAGGGGAGGTCTAACTCAGGCATTGTGTGGGGAGGTTGCCGTGAGGGCAAACTGCGTTCCGACGGGATCCATATAACAGCCAGACGGCGCACTTGTGCGCTGGTGGGGGACGCGGATAAATGCGAAAAGTCATAGGTACCCAACCTGGTGACTTGTGCCCCCAAGTAGAACATGAGTTGTGTGGAGTGGCAGCCCACGCAGGGAGCACGCTGCCATATGTCTGTTCTCCGCAGGGGGAATCAAGTCCGCGTAGGCGAGCTTGTTTGCTGGTGGAGAGTTGAGAGTCCACCCAGGCTTTGCGTTTCGCGGCCTCGATCAGGTCGAGGGCACCAGCGATGCACTGAGTAGGTGGTTCGCCGCCAGCTTGAGCTAGATTTAGGAGTAAGTATTGCAAAGGCTCCCACATGCAGAACGGATAAAGCGCGATAACCTGCCTGTAGTTCTCTCGATTCCGGCGTCACAAACGTCGTGTTTCCATGAAGGGTACCCGCCTGGAAAGGGAACCTTCTACGGTACCGTTACAGTGCAACGCGACCTCCATTGCTTAGGAGGTGGGGTGGAGAATCGGAACAGAACATAACCACGTTCAGCCTGACGTCTCTTCCCGGGACAGCCGTGTCGTGAGCTATAACCGGCGAGGCGTCGGCCAGTCTCTAATGGAACGACCACCCGACGCCAGTCCGGCGCACCTCCGCGGGAGGGCCGACCGGCCGGCAGTGTTCAAGCTCCCCGTCGGCACGCCTACGTAGGCAGGTCCGTTGTCGCCATGTATGGAAAGAGCCAAAGTACTCTCGTAAGAGCTCTTAGGCGGGTCCAACTCGAGGGGTCCGCCAGAAGTACCGTAGCTTACTCGTTCGACAGCCTGGGCGAAACGAGAACGACTAGTAGAACGACTAGTAGGCGTCTGAACGCTTCGTTCGTCGGCCCTCCCAGCAGCCGAAAATCTAGCAACAGGCTCCGCCAAGTAGTCCAAGATCGTTAATACAAACGCCCCGGCGGGACGACTAGAGTGGCCTTGTTAACCAAGCCGAAAGATGTCAGCGGTGCAGCTTTGCTGGATAAGTGCTAGGTCACGGTTAGGCGGCCCACACGTGGAGCCGCCGGGCCAAGGTCTATACATCTGCCTGGCACCGTCCCAGATCTGACGACAGGAGCTAGGCACTTCCTCAATGTTCATACATAGTCGATAAGATACGATTCGTTTGGCAGCGATTTGACCCGACGAGAGGAAGAGGGGAAGAGGGGGATCCGCTGAGAACCCAACAGAGTGTAGGAGAGGACTGGTAACCTCGGTGGATTAGGAGCCCACCCACTCGAATCTTATCCGGGACGTAGCCGCGTTGTCAGAGCCGTCGGTGGTCACATGGTCAGCTGGGCCACGGCCAGGCGCACGCAAGGGGGGGGGCTGTTCCCGGTGTCAACTGAACACTAGTACCCGACAGTATTCCGGCGAGCCAGAGTCGTAGAGCGTGTGTACTCGAAAGGTAGACAAATGACAAGGGGTCTCCGGACCGACGCTGGGCAGTAGCGAAGCACAGGGCACTTCCTCGAGGTTCATACATATTCGATACCATACAATTCGGTTGCCAGCGATTACATCCGACGACAGGAGAAGAGGGACACGCTGAGAACCCAGCAGAGTGTAGGGTTGTTGGGTAGGGTATTAGGGTATTTTGGTAGGGGTTCGCTCCGGTGCAAATGAAACAGTTAAAATAATTGGGATTAGCCAAATAGCTAGTAGCTCTGTCAACTACAGCAGCGCGGCCCCACCCAGGTGTCCGTGGGAAGGTTTCAAACTGCGTGGCGGCGTGATCCGGCTTTCGGCGAGTAGGTGGTATTGCACCACCTGATTGTAAAATCCTTAAGGGCTAGATGCCCATCTGGTGCTTACTCCTCGGAACAAGTAGACCCGTCACGGGCAAGCGCAGCAGTGGTCTCATTGTCCACGTACGTAAAACTGTCCACTTCATTATTTTTGGCAACACCCGCCTCGTGGTCAGGGTAGACCGGTGGAAAATAAGGAGGGTAAAAGAGGTGGCGGAAACCATCAAACATACGCAAAACCTGAATACTGACGAAGCCTTACGACTCCGCGGCGCCTGAAAACATCTTTGTTATCGTGGAGCACGTTTAGCTGCTCCATGACGTCCGACCACAGTCGGGCCCCTTTGCCCACCCTTCCTTAAAGGACCGTTGCTTTATCCGCATTTGCAGATACTCCAAGCATTTGTAGCCGAGTGAGGAGACCCACTTCTTTATACGCGTAAACCCGTGTGCAGCCCACCTCTGAAGATTCCTCTCAGAGGACGCGGCGCGCCGTCTTCCGGAAAGCCAAGTATCTATGTTCACAATGGATACAAATCGAAAGCAGGCGAGATATGAGCTGGAAATTGTACGTGGAAAGTAAAGGAAACAAAATAAATTCAAGAAGTGGAAAGCAAGTATTTGAACTCTGAGCGTGGCAGAGAGTGCGAGGCAACGGAAGAGAAGTCAATACCGCAGTGAACAGTGGATTCTAGATATTAATAAAGCATCCCATAGTGCAACAGATGGGGAGGAAAAATATGTAGGAGGTATGTGAAAACGAAAGACCTGACTTTCGAAATTGATCTGCATGGAATTGGTACAGTGTAAATGGCAATAGGAGAGATGTTATTAAGGGCAATTATTGGATCGGATCTGTGAGAATGGATGGATCGTTCGGAATGGATGGATGGAATCGGATGTGATTTACTGAGAAGTCTCTCATATTTATTTATTTATGTATTTAACGTCAAAATCTGTGCCATACAATGGGGAGAAGTGTATTCTGTGCACGATCTTATGCCATTTCATTGCCAAAATAATGAGAACTATGTAGCGGAATATTCGGAGCACGTTCTTAGAGTATTTCATTGCCAAAATAATGAAAACTATGTAGCAGAACATTCGGAGGCCATATTTATAGTCGCCAATTCTTGGGTGTAGGACGGGCCTCGTGAAATTTTGGCTGACACAATAGTTAAAAATAATGCGGTTGCTGCAACTCCACTATTTTTTAAACGATTGTTGTCAAACCATCAAGCGTCAAACTAGAACTCATTTCATTTAAAAAAACAAAAATGTTCGACGTACGACGGTTAAACTATGTAATAATATATATATATATATATATATATATATATATATATATATATGAGAGAGAGAGAGAGAGAGAGAGAGAGAGAGAGAGAGAGAGAGAGAGATTGTATGTAGAGTATATATACTATGTAATTCTACTATATATAAACTGTACATGTACGATGTAAACTTGTCATGCAGAGCCAGAAAATTTAAAATTCTATTTTATTTCCATCGTGTATTAATAGAGACAAATTAATTATTCACATCACTTTTGAAATCACGAAACAAATATTTATTACCTATGTAATTTCCTTTATTTTACTTACTTTCAATCTTCCACCTGAAGGCGGATGCCAGGTGCGTTTTCCGACTGACGCAAATTCGGCCTTCTTACTCGCTCTTTGACGTTTCCTGGTATTTCCGAGAGTATCCCTTACCGACAATATGAGTGGCGCATGGAAGCTTAGAGAGAGAAACTTGCGTGATCTTTTTAATTACGACTAAAATATCTAAGCTCTTCGCTCTTCACTCTTCATATGTATCAGAGTTGAATAACTTTTGTAGTTTTAAGCGTCGTACATCTTTGCCAGTGTCTTTCTGCGTTCTTTAGAATTACATTGCTAATGTTCAACGCAACGTTTCTCTGGATAATCCGTAGTTGCCTTTCTAATCATCGAGCAGCAGATGGGCAAAATTGTTGTGAATTTCATCTCCTATTATAGTTGCGGTTATTATTATGACTCGGTAGTTGCTACGTTCAGGATCCGTCTGCCAGTATTTGATGATGACTTCTGTGCAGTATTCAACCACACCGTTGTGATGTGCATTTTGAATAAGACAATTCACCTGCTGAGCGAATATAAAGCGATTGCTTATACGATGTTCGAAACAGTGACCGTGAACTTGTTCCGGGTCCGGTGAAATCAATTTTTTAACAACTGGCCTCGCTTTTTACTTTCTCTCCTTACTTCGTAAGAAGAGGAAGAGTTGTAATCGTGCGCCGGAAATCGTCGATTTTTCAACAAAAAACCTTTATTGCTGGGCCCAGGTAATGAAAACGTGAATAAATCTTGTTCCTATATGTAGCAAATTACTTTAAGAGAGTTGTCAACTTTTAAAAAATTGCAACATTTTCGTTGACCCGTCTGAATTTTCGAAATAATGGGAGAGAATTAAGTTTTTAATCGCAGGCTAACGCGAGGCCTAAGCAATTTATAAAAAAAAGCATTTTGTCTAAAACTGATCCAATTCTTTTTTTTATATTTCCGCTTCTATTTATTAAAGGTCAGTAAAACTAGTGACGCTTCAACAACACATACTTTCTCGCATTTTTAAAATATAAATGTGCTAGTTTCGAAAATTCAGAGATGTCAACGAAAATGAGGCCTGCAGCATTCTTTTAAGCATTACTTTCTCTATCCGTGGAAAAAATTTGAAGAAAAAAAAATTGGGCAGTTTTTAAATGTTTCTTTAATAAATTAATTGAACATGCACAAATTACACTAAAACCACACGTATTTTTTAAAAAAATTGAACGTGCCCATTCTTAAAAATCTATTTTTTAAACAGATTTTGTTGAGCGCAAAAATATTTTATCTTCAATTTTGTAGTTTTGAAATGTTAAAATTTTGCAATTTTAGGAAATAATTTGCCAGAAATGAGACTAGCACCAATATAATTACTCATTCATATTCCATTGCTTTTGTAGGTTTGTGGAAAGAAGAAATAAGTTTGCTTTCTCTGTGTTTTGGGAAAGCTGATATCATTACCAGGGCAATAGGATGGCTCAAACTTTGTGATTCATCACATACAAATGCAACTTTATAGTACATGGAATAAAGCATTTATTCTCAAACTTTGCAGATTTCTCTCACATGTTTTCACAAAATTTATATTACTTATTGATGAATACAACTGAGCTGTTACTTTTAACACAGTAATAAATATGCGTTGTAGAATATTTCAGGAACATACAAATGTTCCACGTGTGTAGATAACTTCAATCATTCTCAATCTTCCATAGCAAGTATATATTTTCTAGACCACAATCTGACTAAATGAATATCATTCTGATCCAATTTGGAGATCCGATATTACCTAAAGAAATATATCACAGCAGGGGGTGTACATCTATAATATGTAACTATCTAACGATGCACCGTATAGTGTACAAGTACATTTGAACTTTATAAAAAATTACTTTATTTTTATTGAAAATTTCAGATTCTTCTCAATACGCAATAGACACAAACCTTTAAGTCAACAAAAGTATGTACATCAAAACTATATAAATTTCAGACATTGTTCCAAAATTTATGGAGACTAATGCAAAATGCAACATGGCCCATGTTTTGAAGGAAACTAATTTTCTTTATTCTTCTGAGCTTTCTTCTGCAGTTTTGCTTTCTGTAAAGAAAACAAAGCATATGAATTATAACTATGCATATCATAGATCATACAACACAGAAAGACAAGAAAATGTTCTAACATTTGAACATTTCATTAATTTCTTAACTAGTTATTGCAGAATTCTGAAGTAATTCTGTAAAATGAGTTGTGCTTTAACCATTTTAAACTGAGGAATCTAGCAGTATATTATATTACTCTCATTTTTATAATCCTAAGTTTAAGAATTACATTACTATGCTTTATTTTCTGTTTTATATCTGTATATAATATAATGGCCTTTCCAGTTACAAAGAGGGAGAAAAAAAAAAGATTATATTTATGATATGATATTCAGCATGTTTTTTAAAATTTTTATTGAAAAAAAAAATCATTACCAGTCCTCCTTCAACTTTCTTTCTTTTCTTTACATCCAACTTTTCTTCTTGTAGTCTTTTTGCTTCCTGAGTTCTGAGAAAAAAGATGAAATTTATGAGCAAATCTCTTTCATTTTTACATTAAAACATTGAATTAAAAACAATCAAAATGTTACATACATTTCAAATTTTATACTAAATGATTTAGCGATTCCACAACTATAGATCAAAGATCAATATAATAATTACAATCACTGCCTTCTGAGTCTACATCAATTTCTGCATGGATTTTGCAACTATCCTCAATAATTTATTCCCTAGACATTTGTAAGCATCATGGTGAACACAAATCCTTCTAAAAATATATAAATAAATATAATAGAACAACCCTTCTGGACCAAATTGTTATTGACTATTGCATTGTGAAAGAGAATTTTAATTAGCACTTTGAAAGCAGAACCTGTTTCAAGTAATAGATGCAGTAACGTGCATCTTTTCAGTTCAATTACGAGATACTGGAGACCAAACGCTTTTTAATTAATGTCATAGATTGACACATCCCTTCAAAGTTGAACAGTTTCCTACAGAATCAAAAATTTTCAATTGGATAGAGGTATTTGCTTTTGAAAGTTATCTAGAAATTTGTAAAATATGTAATTGGGTTCAAGAAAAAAAGTTTGTAATACACGGCAATGATTCAGAATTTTTAGTCCTCAATATTCCTTAGTATGATTGCCAAAAGAAAATCCAGGCCCCAGTACAAAGGTGTGTGGATCCTCCTATAAAATTCAACTGACATGTAAGCATGTATATTAATCTGTTATAAAGAATACCATAAAAATTAAATTAATGAAATAAATGTGCAGATTATAATGAAAATTATTGGATGTGTTTGGCTTCATTGACCCGTTGAGCTTCATAGGCCCTGGAACAACACACCAAATACACACTCCATCTCCATGGCATGCTATTCAAATCTCACGACACCTCTGAAGAAGAAATGTTTGTATTTAAAATTGAATTACTTTTCCATATTCAGATGCGTGAGAGAGATAATTGCTGGATGCTATGAAGTTTCCTTTTATTAATTAGTTGATAAGATGAACATTCAGATGCGTGAGATAATTGCTGGATGCTATGAAGTTTCCTTTTATTATTTAATTGAAAAGGTGAAAACGAGCGGGAATCAAATCAAAATAAGTTCATAGCATAAATAATGGGAACTTAGAATCCTAAATTTGAAGGTAAGTAAGTGGATTTACAGAAAATTTCGACTAATTTAAGTAAGGTATGTAACATCACATAAATAGGAAGACATATGAGGACGGATTTTTTGAGGATCCATTTATTTATGCTACACTGCCTTAAGGACTTCACAGGCTGCAATTTTACAAAAGACTAGTGACCCCAAGCAGTATACTACCTCACTTTCCGAACTACTGTGAAAGGCCTTCATAACCAGGGAGAAATAAGAGATTACCATTAATCAACAATTTATGTAACATCTCGGTTTTTATTTATGTTTCAGTTAATAATATTAATGCTGCACTCCCAAGATTTATGGCGGAGGTTGGATATAATTCAATCACTGCTCCGGCACGCACGCGCGCAGGCACGTATGCATGCACGCACGCACGCACGCATTCTATAGCAACAGGTTATCAATTCACAAGTATGAATAATATTAGCAGCAAGTATATTTTTTAAGAAAAAAGTTAAAAATAAGACTTACTTTTCTTTTATTAACCTATGCTGCTCCTTTTTCCATATGTCTTTGAAATCAGAACAGAACTGCTGCCATAAAGCAAAAAACGTTTCAGGATCCACTTCATTAGTGTCCCCCTTTGGTTTGTATTGGTAGAAATGCATTGTTGCTTTGAATCTGTAAATTAAAAATACAATTTTCATGTACTATACTACCCTGTTTTCCTCTCTGCTTTACAAATTTCAAAATGTGTGCACTTACTTTTGCTTACATTCTTCAAGGTTGTCCATTTCACCAGTTAACTGTTCTTGAGCTGTTAAATAAGAAGTTCATTAATAGAGGAAAGTTTATTGAATTTTAATCCAATATAAATAATTAAAGTTTATTTATTTGTTCCTATTTTTTGTTCCTGTTCATCCGATTGCGATAAAACTTTGTCTACTAATTGCTTGCACTCGCGCGAAGAATATAGGCATACTACAATGGGAATGTGTGAATGTCTGTCACACATAGAGGCGCGTTGATGATTTTATGCGTTTATGCTGACTCAAGCGCACTTGTAGAGAAGCTCTACCCAACCCGCCGCACTCTCGTGTATTAAGTGTCTTCATTGCATATTCTGCCCCGTGATTGTGAAATATCTGCCGGAATTATTACTTGAACTTTAAACTTTATTTCGAACAAGTAAACCAAATTTCTCTAAGACACGGTCTTAGCAAATGCATACCCAAACGTGAGGGATATTTGACAACCATCTCCAAACCAGGACATGTAACTAACCCATACTCGCGAGAAAGTCGTCTATTAAAAGTTTTGCTGATCGAAGCGTAAAGGTGATTAACAATCCAAAGACTAGTAGCATATGAAGTGTAATGCATTGCAATAGGGAAGCATTGCCAGGTCCACTAGTCAAGAATTATAAAAATTGAATAGTATATACAAGTTTTAAAAAAATGTATTTTACGTCTACATTTTACAGGAATTTTGGAAATACAAATTTCATTACACTATTTTTAAAACATTTACTCCAGGAGCACATATTTTTAAAGAGAAATTAAGAGAAAATTAGTTTCTTAGTACACTATTCTCCTAAACATCCTTCCAATAAAGAAGTTTAATAAAAAAACGTTCTTTTCCATTCAAAGGCATTTCTTTGAAATTTTGAAAATGTCCCAGGTTCTGTCCGTTTATGAACTTTCAGAAAGTTCAAAAATTATAATATAAAAATTAGTGAGACATGATAAATATACGGTACCCGATGTGCAGAAAATGTTACTGTTTAATTTGTAACCACGGCCAAGTTGGTACGTCTTAAGGAACGAAAAAAGTCGCATTAACATCGTAAAACTAGAGGTAGTAAACAGTACACTCTAGCAGTATGAGAAAAGTTCTACTTGACTATTAACACCAAACTAATTTCTCCAAGATAGAAAGGAATGGAACAGAATTGAATCTTATTTCTACAAAGATTTACCTTTATCCAAAAATGCCTCCATTTTGCTTTTAAACGGTTGAATAGTCTCTTCAGACGACTCTTTCAGCACTTTTTCAGTCTTCTGTTTACACACTGACAACAGAAATCAAGAAACAAAAGTCAATTTCCAAACTACAGAGATTTTAAGTAAACCATTTCTTTGCGAAAGTGATTCAAACAAATAACGTACGATAGTATAATGACTTCCAATTGTCCTGCCACAATAATCGTTCGACACGAACGATTGAATTGTAATGTACGTACTACATTTTAATGTACCATTCAGGAAAGCAATGTAAAGCATGATAAAATACACCATTTTGGAGAGGTGCCTAAGATAGAACTAGTGGTGCCACAGAATGGCACAGACTTTACCGTATTAGTTTTCTATTTCATTTGGTCTCGGCTAGCTATTCGAACTTGCCATATACTCTTGCCTGCTGCGATCTGTCGTAGCCCAAAATATTTTAAAAAAAAATTCTTCAGTTTTCGGTTATTATTAAAACGGAAATATTATTTTAAGAATACTAAAGAACAGTAAAAACTAAATGGCAATTTTTTCTGAAAAAATTGGAGCAGTTTTTAATAAAATGGTGCTTAAGCACTACAGTATATTCGAAATTTTAAGCACTTTCTTCACAAAAAATGTTGAGTTTTCGAAAAAGTTCTTTAATTGCCATTTGAAGCTCATTAACTCACAACCACAACCGGGTTTACAAATTGCTGGAAATGTGCATATTACCGGCATGAGAGATATTTAAAAAACTTACAGTTTTGTAATAAAAAAAACAACAAAAAATACCTCGAAATGAAATTTACGTAATAATAAAGAGTGCAATTAGCACTATCCGTTCTAAAAGTTTGAAGAAAAAATTGGAGCGGGTTTTGAAAAAATGGCGATTGAGCGTTACTGAAATTGGGAAATTTTCAGCTAGTTTTGACAGAAAACTGTTGGGTTTTCGAGAAGCATTATTTAAAGTACATGTTCTCATAAATATAATAATGTGAGCAAATTGCTGCTAATGTAAATATTAACGACGTGAGAGAAGTCAAAATTTTCATTTTTCTAATTTTTGAAAAGAAACAAAAGAATAGAGCAATATGGCGTTTATGTCATTTTATAGAGTGCGTTTAGTACAATCCTTACCAAAAGTTTAAAGAAGAAATGTGGAGCGATTTTTGAGAAATTCTTGTATTGTATTTTTTAAATGCAATATTGTGTGAAACTACTAAAATTTAGGAAGAACCCGAAAAATTCAACTTTTGATATTTTCGTAATTTCAGAGTTAACCATGAAAATCGGACCTACATCACATTTATTAGTGCATTTTACTCTATTCTCATAAGAAAATTAAAGAAAAAATTTGGAGCAATTTCTGGGAAAATTTTGAAAATGTTTCAGGGGCTCATTTTGGAAAAAATCCTTTAGGCGTTAGTGTTTACATACACCAGACAGTTGAACGGACGGACGTTTTTAAAACAAAAAGCTTTTTTGGTAACAGGGGACCTCAAAACGTGTATTTCCGTTGAAATCTTGAACTATTTTCCGCAGCATTTCATAACTTTCCCTATTCTACGTATATTACTCGGTATATACGAACATATACGGGAAAGTAAAAAATCCTGGTATGTATCTTTCTGGTACTCCAGGAGGAGTACACTTCAGAGGTATTTCTGAATTGAGGTGCCTCGAAGTTGACGAACAAAGTTCAGTAGTAGAAACGTTCAACACAGAAAATACCTCAAATTGAGGAAACTTCTTTCTTGCTATACGCAACATGCTTAAGTCGTAACTCGTAACTATACCTACGTTGAATTCAACTACCTCGTAGGCTAGCCCTGATACCGGCATATTCTTCAACCCTAAGGTCTTGAAGGGTACAGAAAATAATTATTTTGAAAATGATGTTATTTATTAAGATAACAGTTATTATAGAATTTAGAATATTTTGGTGTCAATGTAATATATATTTGAGTACATGTATGGGTATATATAAATGGTATCTATGAGAAAACTTCGAAAATAATCTCTTATGACAATATTTTTAAAATGATAAAATATTATAATCGTAAAAATAGCAGTTTTGGGAGTTCGACTTTTTGACAATGAATACATGTTTTATTCCATAAAGAACGAACTTTAAAATGAGTAATTCGTATTTTCTGTGTCGGGTGCATTTTCACCCCTTAACCATGGATACCTGTATTCGTGGTGTATTAATTTGGTGGGACATTTGTGGAAGTAACATGAATGACCACGTAAACGTGGTGACCACTTAGCCCCGGTGTCTGCTACACAATTTTACATTCAAAAGTTTCACATTTTTGTAAAATCGTAAATTAGTTAATTTGAATTTCACTACACAACTTTGCATTCACAAATTTGCATTCGAAAGCGTATCTTCCTAGACCACTTTTCTCCCATATAACTCTGCTTCGTTTCATTATACTATATCTAAAAATTAACAGTAAATGGAATTTTGGTATTATTCTAAATATGGCATTCAAAATGATGACTTATACTTACTGCCAAGCTCTTCCTGTAATTTCTTCAAATTCTGAGTGAGATCATCGAAATGTACAGAGCCTGCTCTGGCGATATCTCCAGGTTCAGGAACGGGCATGGCAGTGTCTGTGCTCAGAGGATCGTCACATTTCTGTAAAGTAAAGAGTTGTCAAAATACTTTCAAATATTCGGACACTACAGGCATATTTTTGTATTTACCTTTAAATATACGCGTACGATGAAATGGAGAAGAGTTACAGAGCTGTCGTTACTCTTAACATCTCGTAATTTTGATAGAATTTCAAGTCCAAAGCCATCTGCTTGTCCTCTGGTACGATTGCCTCCATTCATGTAATTTCCTAACGCCAAAATTATTGCCATAATTGTTTTGAGGTTCTCAGACGTGATAAGGAACTGCGAGAAGAACAGGGCATTTAATAATTACAATTTATTTACGAATCATATTATCACACTCAATTACTACAAATAATAATTATATCGCTTCTTATAAATACATAAAAAATAAATATATTTTACCTCACAAGTGCATTTTAAATTATTTAATTTGTTTTCTATGTTTGAAATTCCATCATCAAATTCTGATTGAAACATAAAGCAGGCTATCCTTTCCGCAAAATTTGGAATTTGCGCTAATTCGTATAAAAATTGTTCGGGTTTATCAAGTGGAATATCCGGTTTATCATTTAAATGTTTCCGTATTAACGAAATTTCTTCTTCTGTGGCTCTCTGAAATGAAAGAAAAATGTCACAACCGTCGTTTTCTAAATTCACATGCAATAAAATTATACAAGATGAATTTGGACAATCGTGTCAGATATGAACACATTGCTAAAGCTTCAGAGAAATCTTAACGCACACACTATTTTGGACACTGGTATCTTTACAGTTAGAAGAAATTTAAAATTAATTTTATGAAAAAATAAGTGACCAGCAAAATTCTTTGTCGAAAACATTTCACTATGCAAGAATATGAAAACTTATTTAAATGCATGATGTCGAAGGCTTCCGCGGCCAGGGTCATGATCTGGGCTCTCCGGGTGACGCCGCGTCGATGGCCGAGGTGCCGTAAGTTTCGACCGACATATCGCAGTCCTCTTCAGGGCTGTATGTAAGGGGCTTTTTCAGGGCTTATTTAAATGCAGCTAATGTGCTTCATTGTAGAGAGAGAGAGAGAGAGAGAGAGAGAGAGAGAGGGGAAGAGAGACGGAAAAAGAGGGGAAGTGAGACAGGGAAAGAGGGGAAGAGAAAGAGGTTAGAAAGAGAGAGAAAGCAGGACAACGTCTGCCAGATTCTGCTGGTATATTACATGAAACAAATCTACATACTATGTTGCAAGTGCGTCGCGTGTAACTCCCTCATTAGTCTACAGGCGATTCATTTCAGGTGGAAAAAAACCTCAATCAGTGTGTTCATCGTAATATTAAAAATAAAAATGCCTGTACCGTTCTGGTCTCAGAAGCCTGTTTTTTGGAGTTTTATAATTTATTCTGATAATTTGCGACATTTTCAAAGCGCTAGTGCGGCGAAATTCTGGCGGCTGACTATCGGAAGTCGAGCGGAAACAGGACGCACCCGATTCTGTCAATTCACAAATTTGCGGTTTTCGACGGTTGTAATCGAAATATCCTGGATGCATCGGCTCACTTTAAGCACAAACTTCAGGACAAGGGGAAGAGAAATCGCCAACAAACTGTTGAGCAATAACGAAGCGTTTCTCAACAATGTTATAGAAACATTTGTTCACCTAATTGAGAAGATGGTGACGCGAAAACTGTTCAGTAGGGGTGTTCATAATGTAATGGCTCATCGGTGAATTTCAGCAATTGTAAATCCAAATAACGTTTGAAAGAATGACTTATCTGTATAACTATTAAATATTTAAAAAAAAACTGTTGACAAGATTTAAATCGAAAAAGATAAATGATTAGAAATATATGAAAATCGAAGGATCAAAATTAAGAATCTATGTTCGTAATTGCACGCCTTATTAGAAGCGCGCCTTTTAATTCAAGCCAATATAGACTAGATCTATAAACCAGTGATATTTTGATTTTTTATTTTCGTCAAAGAACTGTACTTGACGTATGGGAAAAAAGTATTTTACTTTCCTGTATATGTACGTATACGAGGGCTGTTCAAAACATAGGCGGACTGACGTCATAAAACAAAATGTACTTTACTTACAAGTTAGATGTCTGGGTCCCCTTCAAAGTATTCACCTCCTAAACGCACACACGTAGCCCAGAGTTGTTTCCACTTGTTGAAACAGTCCTGTTTCGCGTCTCAAATCTTCCTTTCAAGGATCTTTAGAGTTTGGGGAACAAGCAAAAGTCACAAGGGGCAAAGTCAGGTGAGTAGTGAGGGTGGAAAAGGGTGGAAGGACAGTGATTGAGTGTTTGGCCAAAAACTCACGAGTTCTGAGGGATGAAGGAGGCGGAGCGTTGTCATGATGAAAAAACCAATCGCCACTCCACATTTCTGGCCTTTTTCGGCGGATGGCGTTCCTCAGATGGTTCAGAACTTCAATACAGTAATTTTGATTCTCTGTGGAGCCTTTTGAGAGATACTCGTGGTAAAGAACATCCTTAGCATAAAAAACTGTCAGTATCATCTTGACCTCGGACCGAACATGGCGAGCTTTTTTGAGTCTAGGGAACTTTCACCCGGCCACCGAGAATATTGGGTTTATGGTTATGAAAAAGGTCCATGATTCATCACGGGTTATGATTTTTGACAAGTTTGTATCTTCTTCTTAACGATCAAGCAATTCCTGACAAAGCTGGACACGATGGGCATTTTGTTCATCGTTTCATCAGGCGTGATACAAATTTCGCAGCACCACGTGGCATCTTCACTTTCTCAGTCAAAACCTCGTGACAAGATCTAAATTGATATCCCACACTCTTCGGCACGCTCCCTGACAGTCAGATGTCGATTCGTTCGCACCAGAATATTGATTGTGTCGACGTGTGGGTCATCAGTTGATGTGGAAGGCAGTCCAGAAGGCTCATCATCTTCAATGGAGTACCGACCATCTTTACAACGTTCATGCCACTGGAAAAATGCCGCAGAGCAACATCTCCGTAAGCCGTGTTAAGCACAGCAAAAGTTCCTGTCGTAGATTTTCCTAGTATAACACAAAATTTCAAAGCAAGTTGATGGTCTTTCATTTTCATTTTGAAATCCGCTAATCGAAAAACTCGCACTTCACTAAACTAATAAACAAAGGAAGATATCAACATCTGGGAAATAGCATCTTAATCAGCAGATCTGAGCGCACCTAGCGGCATCAAGCGGATTCTCCTGGAATCATCTGGAGATGCGCAATTCAAACATTCCGCGTATTTTTTGAACAGACTATGTAAACGGAATAATATTCGTAGTATAGGGAAAGTTATGTAATGCTGCGGAAAATCGATTTCGAGATTTCAACGCAAATACACGTTTTGGGATGCCCTGATCCCAAAAAAGTATTTTTTTTTCAAAACGTCCGCCCGTCCGTCTGTGAAAACCACTAGCGCCTACAACATACGTAGGATTGTTTCCAGAATTCCCCAGTCGATCTGGCTCGACTCGAGGCGCTGCGATTTTAAAAATCCTTCTTCAAAATTTGGGGGTATCTTACATGAAGCCCCGGAATGTTTCAAAATTTTCTCAAAAATAGCTCTGAATTTTTTCTTAAAATTTCTTGTGAAAATATTATACAATACACTTATAAAGTTGGCATAGCTCCTATTTTCTGAGTTAACTCTGCATTTTCAAATAATGCAATCTTTTGAAAATTTTAGGGCGGCATCCTACAACTACAAAATTGTAGATAGATTATTTTTCCTTGAAATAAAATTTGTTCTCCATTGTGGGTTCTTTCATTAAGATCATGTCGATTTTTTGGAACTTTTAGTAGTGTTTGCACAATATTGCATACAATATGAGCAATTTTAAAAAATAACAAAAACAAGACTTTTCTCAAAAACATCTACAATTTTTTCTTCAAACTTTTCGTATGGATAGTGATAAATGTACTCTATGGGATGGCATAAACATGTTTGCCCTATTCTTTTGTTTTCCAAAAATATAATTTTTTGACTTTTATCTTAGAATCGCTCAAACACCTCTCTCTAAAAAAACTGCTTCATTCTTTTCCAATTTTTCGAACAGATAATGCTAATTACGCTCATTACTATAACGGAAAGTTTGTTTTGGGGTATTCTTTTGGTTTTTTCAAAAATTACACAATATATTTTTTGAAATATCTGTCATGCCAATAATATGCACATTTCTGCACATTTCTGCACATTTCCAGCAATTTGTAAACACTATTGTATTTGTGAGTTAATGCTTTTTTCGGAAATTTATTTTTTTTTATATATATATATATTATTATATATAATATATATATATATATATATATATATTATATATATATTAGATCATTTGGCATTTCTCTTGCCATCATAGCCTCTTGCACTCCCTGCTGCCATGGCAGTCTGGATCATCCTCTTCTTCTGTCTTTCTGTCGGCACCCATTTCAGGACTCGATTTGGCCATCTTTCGTCTGTCATTCGCATAACATGACCGTACCAGTGATTTGTTTTTTCTCTATTTCGTCAAGGATAGATTCCTTTACATCCATTTTCTTTCTTATGTCGTCATTCCTGATTCTGTCACGTCTCCTACTACAGCAACTTATACGCCAGAAGTCTATTTCAAGGGCCTGCAGTTTCCCTTTTGTTCTTATATCAATCTCCCAAACTTCTGAACCGTATGTTTTAACACTTAACTAGCGAGAAGTATAGACGTCTTTTAGTAGTGTTAGTGATGGTTTTGTTCCATAAGACAGAGTTTATACTTCGTGTCACGTTTCTCCCCAAGCTTATTCATCTCTTAATTTCTTCTTTGCTATTTACCTTATTGTTAGTACAACAAGGTATTTATATTTGTTTACCCCTTTCATTTTTCCTCCATTTTCCAGAATAAGATCTTCTATTTCATTTTTACCAACTGCCAGGTATTCAGATTTGTCCATGTTAATATTAAGTCCTGCTTTTAAAAAGTGTTCATTGAGTTTTCGGATCATGAAACTCAAAATCGTCCGCATCTTCTGCAATTACTACCTGGTCATCGGCAAAATATAATGTATACATTTATCCTCTCCGATCGTCATTCCCATTGTTTCTCCCACTGCTGTAAAATTTGATGCAGACATATTTTAAACAGTGTAGGGGAAAGCCAGCAACCCAGACGAAGACCTTTACTGACTGGCAATGGACCCGAGAGCCTGCTGTATATCTTAATCTGAGAGGTGGTGTTCTTATGTAGATTCTGTGTGGCTCCAATTAAGTTTTCACTGATTTTAAGTCTATACATTACTTCCCATACTCTAGCAACCGGTACATTGTCATACGCCTTCTGAAGATCAATGAAACCCTGATGAACTTCCCTACCTCTCCTTGTTCTCTTTTCTATAAGTTGCTTTAATATAAATATATTGTCTATGACCGATCTACCGGTAGTAAAACCACATTGTTCCTCTCCTATTTTTCCTTTTATCTCTTATTCTATTATATTTTGTATTATTTTGCTATACAATCTACCTATAGATCCAATAACTGCTATTCCGCTGTAGTTTGTTTCATTGTCTTTAGTTCCTTTCTTATGGATCGGTGTTAGGTAAGACGTTCGCCACTTCTGAGGAAGATCTTCTCCATTCATGCACCTTAAAATCATGTATTTGAGCATTTGTTGCAGTTTTTAGGGACCATATTTCAGCAATTATGCCGTTATATCTCCCGGACCAGCTGACTTTTTGGATTTAATGGTCTTGAGTGCTTTTTCTAAATCTTTTAATTGTCATTTGTCAATCAAATTAATTGTCAGGTGTTAATTGTCAATAAAATTACTTTAAATGAAGTTATTTGAACATTCGAAAATTTTCTGTGTACAAGAGCTTCAAATTTTGAATTTACAGTAGCGCTTAAACGCCGATTTCTTGAAAACGGCTGCTAAGTTTTCAAAGAAAATTGCCATTTATGACTAGGTTTTACTCTTCTTTAATATAGTTAAAATAATATTTTCGTTCTACTATTAGGAAACTGAAAAATTAAGAAAATTTCAAAAAAAGTTGTATAGATGGCAGATGGCAAGAGGAAGTGGCAAGTCCGAATAGCTAACAGAGACCAAAAGAAATAGAAAACTAATACGAGAAAGTCTGTGCCATTTGCAGCACCACTAGTTCTTTCAATAAATGCAATGTAATTAAGTTACCAATATTTTAATATATTATATTGAATAGTACATGCATTGTATCTAGCTTTCTCATGATATGCAGGTGGTATTAAAATCTGACTAATGGTAAGTATCTGGTATTGTCAGTATGAATATTGGATTTAATCAAAATATCGGTATATTTAAAAATACATAGAAAAATTTCATTATAGCTATATCCAGAGAAATATATTGAAACATTTAAACTGACATTGAGTCCACTCCTTGCAAAGTAATGACTAATTGTTGCCACAATTTCAACTACCTTGTTTCAAGGAGCATGCATGTACTACAATGTACTGCATCAAACATGGTATGTACTACAATGTATCCATGGTTATTGCAACTAGAATTACTTACATTTTTAACTAGAATTACTGTTTATTCTGTGTCATTCTGTTATTACTTTCGACTTTTAAAAACCCTTTGAAATTGTCAAACAAATATGCAACATGAATGATGTCAAGGCCCTTCTAGAAATAGTTTTGAGATTAAAAGAACATTTCGCACAAGAGTCTGACAAGTAGATTGGACACATCTACTAAACAAACTTACCAATTCATATATTTGCTGAAGAGCTTCAATGTTAACCATTGATGTATCAAAGTTGTATATTGCTGTAATATATAAAAGAGAATTAATATGGCTCATCAAATTTCCTTTAATCTACATAAATCTATTAATATATTTCATACCATTTTCAATTTCTTGGAATTCCACATGGAGACTGGATGACAAAATTCCTACATTTTGAGATCGTTTACTGTCCAGAATTTTCACAGCTTGTTGCTTCGATTGTCTCTCTTGCTTCTTCTTTGTAGGAACACGCTCGATTACTTGCCGTGAAAATAGGGCATGAAATTCACCCATATCATCAATCTGTGCTTCCGCTAGTTTGTCCCATAGGAGATCATCAGGAGATGTACTGAAATTAAAGGTGAAAATGTACATTTCACTAAATTAATATTTTTATTGCATATCCAATGAACTATAGATTCATTGGCTTTCCCCTATCACATCCAAAGAGAAAGAATCAACACCCTACCCGAACAGAATGAGCAACGAAAATTCGCGAACGACAACACACGGGACAAACGGAGTCTGTGCAACGCATGATTTCAAATGTATTTTTACGCCTCTTATGTGTCTAGTTTACGCTTCGCTAAGCATTTACGAGTTTGCAACGAAGCTTTGGACTCGAAATGGACACGGAACATCTTTGATTCTGTGCAACGCATAATCAAAGAACCTATTTTCAAAGTGGCGGATCTCCATGAAACAATTCTTCAGGAAGGGAAAGTATTCACGATCTGTCTTATAGTTCAAGGTGGGATTTAATGACTAATAGATTCTCTTTAACATAGGAGAAATACAATGAATGCTATTTTATCCAACTTTTATATTATATACTAGTAAATCAACAAAAATACTTTCTTTTATAATTCAGCTCCATGCAAAGAATTTTCTGCAGCATTTATTACCTGGGTTGAACCTCAACTTCTTGTTGTGGAGGTGCTGGTGGTGGCGCATTTACAGGAACAATTATTCGTGTCCAATACAACGGCTTCATTGGTACAGCTGGGTTGAGAGGTTGTTTCCTCAGCGCTATAAATGAATTAAATACACGTAAATATCATGGTCGACAATTTCTAATGTCCAACAGAACATCTATCGAAAAATATATTGAATAAACAAACTCTCGTATCTTTTTATCAAATAATTAGAGGTAGCCCGTCAAAAATGACGGGATGAAATAAAATCCCAAACTAATAATTCGTTATAATAATTAGTGGAACACGATTATATTTCTTAATACTAAATTTAAGTTTCTAATATCTAATTTTCCTTTACTAGAAACGGTTTCCTACGCGGTCTTCTAGAGGACAGCGAAGCGTTTCTAGGGAGAATTTGTTTTTCTATCTGCGGCGGGGGCCACTGTTGGCATGCTCCACGTAGCCACATGAAATTTAGTTTCACAGGTATTTGATGTAGATACATTGCGTTCTCTGAATTCAACAACGTGTATACCAAGGGCGAGGTCCACTGGAATCGGGGAAATCGCACGGACGGGCGCGCAGTCTCCTTCATCCACTCCTGTGCCACGGGAGCAGGGAGGTCGGTAATCGCGCTTCAGGGACGTTTTTTTAAAAATATATTTTGAATCATTTCTTTATCGATTTGATTTTTCAAAAACAATTGTAGTATGTTAATTGTAAAATATTTGGGGTGCATTTTACTTTGTCCGTGAAACATAATATTGGCGGCATATCTTTAAACCACAAGTAAACATTGTGCAAAGAGAATCGAGTTTCTTTCTTGCTGCAGTTGCTCATACTCTACAGTACAATTTCGGGGACGCAAGACATTATGTTGTGGATTTCATCATAAGCTCTAAGCCCAAATTGGACCAAATATTTTACAAGAACATACTACAAAATTATTTTGAAAAAACAAATCAGTAAAGAAATGAAAATTGAAGCAGTTCTTCTAGAAACATTATTCGTTAGAAACTAGCTACCGTGCCCTCTCAACGTTTAAAGTCGTTCTAATACGTTTGTAAAATTTGGGGTAACGATACGAATAGTAGCAACTCCAAACACAAAGTTTGAAAAAATAAGAATCGGAAGCTTTCTCACTTGCTTAAAATTTGCACAACGTAGAACGTTTGCCTTCTAATGTTGGGCATTAGTACAAAGATAAGCTATTTATCACAGTCATCAGTCTTTATGGGTAACTTAAGGTACCATATGGTCAGACGCTGTGTACTACTGCTACAATTTATTCGTAAACCAGAAATTATTAATATTGATTAAATTTCCCCTTTTCTTGGTAGGATGTGTAGTTTCTTGGTAGGATGTGTTAGTGGTATCGAATTTTATCATCGAATGAACCAGTGGCTTAGCTTCAGTTGGTGTCACCCGGGTCTAAACTATCCCCCATTAAAGAAAATATAAAAATATATATAACTGAATAGTTTATTCATTATTTAATGAAAGTACAAGTATATTTCCACATGAAACTTATTTATATTATTGTTATTTTACCAAAACTTACTGATTATAATTACTAATTACACATTACTACAAACTGTTTGTAATTACGAATAACTGACATATAATTTGTAAATAAATAATTTTTAAACGAGGTATAACTAATTAAGAAATGCATGATATTTTATAAAAATACTTTTTGAGATTTAAGGGTAGCAAACATATATAATTTTATCATAATTTATAATTTTAAATAAATCATGAAAATTATTCCAACTATAAAACTTTCTAATTGGCGTCACATTTAAACTGGTGTCACTCGGGGCGAACCGCCCCTCCTGCCCCCTAAATTTGCCACTGGAATGAACGATCTTTATCAAAACGAGTGCTTGTGACGCCCTTCTGTCTTCCAAAAGTGTACGAAATTTCGACATGAACGGGTCAGCACAACAGAAATTTCACGCCAAGGTCCCTCACCAACAGAAAAGCTAGTGCCATTTCTTTGATCCAGCCATGAAACTAATGAGTATGGAATAGCGACATCCTAGCTCACTTAACCATAAAAATATCGTTCAATACCAACAGGGAAAATGATGCTGCCGTTTTTATTTCTTGGCAATAATGGGTCATGATTATTGAAATTGTTGGAACCGTCCGGTACAGCGATTGGAAAGTAATCAAACTTAACGCAAAGTTCTGAAGGTCAAAAAGGACCGTACATGGGGTATGTTGTCAAACGGATTTATTCTGCTGGAAGGTTATGCACGCCCTCATGAGGCTCAAGTTTCAATACTTGTGGTGCAAATACTCCGATGGGAAATTCCCGAGAACCCACCCTACAGTATAGACCCCTCGCCTTACGATTTTCTTGCGCTCAAACGTCTGAAGAAACCACTGAATAGTCCAGGATCGAAAGTAACAAATAGGTTGAAACACCGTGGTACAATGATATCCCATACAATCGCTAGTTTCTTCAATGGCGGCTTTCATTGAATAGCACAATGTTTTGTGTGGGTCAATTCCTTGCATCCGTTCTGTGATTATTATGTCAGTATTCACGTATCATCTATTCGGTAAACATTATGTAGTTCAATACTTTATGTGAGGTTGACATTGTAACCAAAATTCCGAATTGTAAAGCGCATGTGCATTGAATATAATAGTTTTAAAGAAAATCAACCAGTCCTATTTTCTACTGGGTGAACCTTTAAAAAAATAAAATTATGGCTATAATAGGAATAAATACATATTGAACATGTTGAAATGTGTGAAACTTACTTGTTCGATTGGCCATCCAACCTCCAGCAGGTGGCTGAGGAAAAGGAACTGGAGTCACTCCTGTACCACCAGGCATAGGCGGTGGAGGAGGGCCCATTCCAGGCATGGGCGGTGGAGGAGGGCCCATTCCAGGCATGGGCGGTGGAGGAGGACCCATTCCGGGCATGGGCGGTGGAGGAGGGCCCATTCCAGGCATGGGTGGGGGTGGGGGAGCCATTCCAGGCATAGGTGGAGGCGGTGGTGCCATTCCAAGCATGGGCGGTGGTGGAGGTGGTGGAGGGCCCATTCCAGGCATGGGCGGGGGTGGAGGTCCCATTGGCGGAGCCATGGGGGACAAATCAGGCCCAGGCGGAGGAGGCGGCGGTGGCGGCGCGCTTGTTAACGACGCGGGCAGAGGCGGAGGGCATGTTACAGGAGGAACTTTTTCAGTGGTTGAAGGAAGCGAAGGCGATGCATCTACTTTAGGTTCTGCAAGTGATTGCAGCAGATCCTGGACCGGAGGTTTCGTTGGCAAGGATGTCGGCCGAGAACTTTCAGAAGGTCCGGATATATTCGAAAGTTCCGTTTTAGCCAACTCAGAAGTGGTAGAGGGATGAGGTCCTTTTGTCGAGGAACTCTTTTCTGTAGAAGAACGTACACTTTGCGCGTTGTCTTCAGAGGTTTCTTCACTCTTCTTCGCTTGCTCACTGAGCGAAGATGAGTTTGTTGTATTTTGAACACTTGAATCCGCAGACATCTCTTCTTTTGAAGAAATAACGTTAACTAACGCTGAATCATCTTCTCCTTTGTCTTTTATCGCAGTATCTTTATCATCTCGATGTAGCAAGGAGGAACTTTCATTTTTAGTAAAAGCAATTGTATTTTCTTGTGAATTAGCAGTAGAGGGAAGTGTTTCTGAGATATTTAATTCTGAAGTTGATGTAGAAACGTCTGTTAACTCACGCTTTTGTTCATTCAAGTCTTTGGTATCAGTTTCTTTGTCATGTGTTTTTATTTCAACCATGGCCTCTAATTTGAGAATATTCTCGATGCACACATTGTCGTTTGTTTTAAGGGATAGGCTTTGTTCTTCTTCTTCTTCTTCTTCTTCTTCACGGAATTCATGTTTTTTATTGTCGAACACATCAAAACTCTTCTTAGAGGTTGGAGAACTGAAATCAGCTTTTGTTTTTTCTGTTAATGACTGGAGTTGTGTCCAGAAAAGGAAATAAATGACAAATATTAGTTCAGTTTTATTAAACTTTATACTATAATTTTAATTTTAAATTTTAAAAATTACTGAAATACCTGAATTTCTGCTATTGTTTGATTTCTTTCTATTTCTTGTTGTAATTTTACCACAAGATTCTCCAATTCCGCCAACTTTTCCTCATATTTATTGATTTTTTGGGCGTGCTCACTTCGCAGTGCGAGGAGATAAGCTTCTTGCTGTCTGTTTATCTTGCTCACATTATCCCGATGTTCTCTTTTCAACTCTGTTATCGTGTGTTGATATTCTGTAAAGGAAAGTACATTGTGTAATTATTTCGCTTCGTCTGTATAGACACAAACATGACATTTTTAGACACGAACATTAAAGCCTTGGTAGTCGCAGGATAAAAATTCGAATCTTGTAGATCTTAGTTTCAAAATAATAAGGGTAAAATTATATAATGATTTTGTGACTGGTCACTTCAAAAATATTTGTGGCCTCAACCTTTTATAAGATGTAATTGCCTTTAAATTAAAAGCATAATTAACGTGTAGCTTACTAGAAAAAATCTATTTACATTGTTATAAAATGACTTAAGTTATTTTATAACAAAGTTTTGACCTCGGAATGACCGTGTATGGAGGTCCATGCTTGGGAAATTGCCACCTTGGCATTATAAAGAACAATTTAGTTATACTTTAGATATGATACCAGAGACAATATACTAAAACATAGGTTTAAAGAGCTTTTGCTAATACTGTTTCCCTAGCGATTCTATTTTTTCTGAAGTTTTCTTTTCCTTGTATTTTGCTAAGTGCCAAAAATATGCCTGCATAAACGAATTGAATGAACATGGACAGCTAGCTTACTTGAACAAAATATACCTAAATTATAATACAAAATAAGTTATTTTACACAGACAAAACTAAGACTTAGGTTCTAAAGTCTCTGCGTGGGAAATTGTTTACAAGCTACAGTGAAAATTTGACTAATAAGGGAAGTTCACGGCTTATTGGGACCTGGATCTCAATAAAAATTGGTTAATTTGAAATACCTTAACAATACATGTTGAATTACCGAACATACAACCTCATTAAATTTCATTTTCCATAATCCAGAAACGTCTATATAATATGTGTTTTCAAGTCAATAATACTAACTTCTATACTCTACAAGAAGATGACACTTTAAGCAATGGCAGAAAATTGAAGTATACAGATATGCTATTGAAAGAAAGGCTAGATAGATTGAATTTATTCTTTGCTAATAGAATGTGACAGATTAAGACAGATTGTGACTGATAATGGGATATAACTATTGACGCCTTCTTTTGAATTTTTATAGTGAAAATACTTCCTGATTTCTGAAGCTATTGCAAGATGGAGGTTTTCGAAAAAAAATTGTAAAATACTCTACCTTTTAAAAACTCAAACAACACAATTTTTTCTGGTATTAATTCTCCACATTCCTTTCCAGAATATCTCCTGAACATCTTAGTTCTGAATTAATATTGAAGTAGCTTTAGAATTCCTCGATTCCTTGTTCTTGTCATCTCAGACGTAAGACGTTGCTTTTAAGTTTACGGCGAGGGGAAAACGAAAATTAAATGAATTGCTTTCAGTATAAGTAATATTCTGATTTTTCGCGAGCATTAGCTGATTTTGTAAGGGCAATTAAGCTACAAAATTCAGTAGAAACCCAAACGGTTGTGTCTTGGCAAATGTCTAATTACTAATCGTCTTATTTCCAGTTTGAGTTTTCGGTTCTACACTACGCTACGGCACTACGATTCAGAAGTCTGATTCGGTAAGCACTCTGCAAAAGTGGGTATTTCTAAGAGGAGACGCATCATACGAAACATCCTTACAGTAATGTTTCGGATATCTGTTCGAAATACGTGAACATGAAGTGTTCTAAACTGACATTTATAGAGTGCGTTAATTATGAATGTTGACATTTAAACGTGTAACACACTTTATATAAAAAGTGAGCATTTGCTGAACATCATTTAGAAAGAACACTTATTCAGATTTTCAAACAAATAAAATTATTTTCTCCGAAAATTTGAACATTTTTGGTTCAATCTCTCTAACTCACATCTCTTCAATGATGGCGCTTATACATTTGAATTTAAATAACTCCATTGAAGGAACATTATCTGTGTTGAACTTGGTTAATACGTTCGCACCATTGCACGTTTGTGAATTGTTGGTTAACCACGGACTGCCCAAAACTAATGAATCAGAGGGATAAATACTGTCATTTTTACTTCACGAAAGCCAAAACGCGTAGATTATAGTACATAAACTTGTATCATTCCACTTACAAGAGATAAATATAATTTAACAGCACTTTCACAAGGAGTTTTCCAGAGTCATTCTTCATCTGGAGTTGTTTAAAAGAGTCATTTGCCTGCAGAATCTGGAAATGTAGTTGTTCTTGGTTCATCCGATCAACACTAGCCGAATGCCGAAGCAGAACCCTAACAAACAGGCCACGGACGGCGCGAGCTCTACTTACACACACACTTCCAAGCACTACACTACCACACACACTGTGAGACCAGTCGAGAGATGAGAGTTCGTTCCGGCTGGGCCAGATCCCCGCTAAGGCGAGAAACATATTTGGGTAAAAACCTACAAGCCGACGGGTAGCTCGGCGCCGGATCTTACCATCCAGCGGAGGGGTGGGAGACCATCACCTTCCTCGATAAAACATGCACAATATTTACGGAACTAATGAATTTTTCAGATGACGTGACCTAAATCACCAATCAATCCAGCACTCGCCAGATTAAGATCGGAGAAATACGTAGTGACCGATCAGAGCAGTCGGTCACTGGAATTTTCCTCCAAAGTAGCTGAATTACATCCAGCATTGTAGCTAGTGAACTCAATACGCTACTATCCTGACTCGTAAACTTCGGTCAACATTGCAGCAGATGATGTTGCCGCAGAGCTGCCTTAGCCGATTTTTAGGTGTTTCGAACCTACCTTCTTCTTCAATTTTGCGAACATTTCTGTCCACACTGCCTGGTTGCAAAGTACTTCCATTTAATGACACGGCATTATCTCTCTTTATTCCATCTGAAAAAAAAATAAGGCATACGCATTGGTTCTCAGTCAAATAAAGAGATTTTTAAGTTGCTAAGTGCACAATTTCATGCGCAAAATGTGTATAATCTAGTGTGCTGTACTTTTAATATTTTTCGGAAAATATGGTTTCGTAATTGTTTTATTTAGCTAGAAAAAAGGATTATTCATAATATCTACAACAATTAAAAACTATTAATGTATTCTCGTTGAATTCTCTTTGAGCACCTTACCACTAAGGATTGACATTTCAGTTTCACAATGGCGGCGAATAATAAATCATTTACATAAACTACTTATTTTCATTCCTCCGTTGATATTGAATTAATGCGTACCTCATATTTCTAAATAGACAATATTATATAACACATAACTGAAATGCACCGTGTTATGAAATTACTATGTGATAATATTAAAAAATACTAGTTAAACGATAAAATAGATTTTTAGGAGATAAAGAGACAAAAGAAGAAAACGATAAAATAACAGAACTAACTAGTGATTAATCACAATGTAGTTCAAAACTTTTAGGTAAATAAACAAGAAAGGTTTCTTACAAGAACCAAAGTAGTCTAAATTCAAGATTTTTCAGGAGGAACCAAATAGGTCATAGTAAACACGTGCATAGTAACTAATTTATGATTTCCCCCGCCTAATATCTTCCAATGTGCTTGGCACTTGCAAAAGGGAATGTCCTAGAAGATAAGAGCCAGTTGTAACTCAGAAAAAATCTCAAATTATCGAATTTTGGGCCTGTTTGGTTTTTGTTAGTATCCCCTCATATAAATTGATGCAAAGTGGCGAAAGAGAGTGCTATTAATTTTTCATTTTGCACATCCGTGTTTTCATAAGTTGAAACACCCGCTGAGAACTTGGAACCAATGAGCAAGCGTGCTGGCACAATGTGTTTTGAGTTTCTGCGTATGGGAAGCGTTGGGAGCGGAGGATGGAGGTTCTTGATCGTAATCACACTTTGGATTTTCAGACATACTCGGTTGGGAAACTGCAAGTTCCGCATTTCTCTCATCAATATTGCTTGTGTTTGGATATTACATCGATACGATTCCTGACACGACCAACTGCTGATTTATTTCATGGGTAGAATCTCTGTCTTAATAGAAAAGGAACATCAATAATAATAATAATAATAATAATAATAATAATAATAATAATAATAATAATAATAATAATGAGTATGATTGATTAGTTTTTGAGAGTTGCAACCGCGAATCGCGACGTGCCAAGTTGCGTTCGTGTTTGTTCGTTGCATTCTCGCACCGCGTTGCATTCTTGCTTATTTGTTGAATTAGTTTTTCTATATTGCTGTTTGTTCGATTGGTAGAAAGAAAGAAAGGTACCAATCCAACATACACATTAGTCATTGATTAAACGTTAATATTCCTATCTTGACTGCGGCTTAGAGAAGAACACGATCTGTATACAGAGGTAGATAATACTTACTACACGTTGAAACGTAAATATATCCAGGTGATGGGACCGTTAAAGAGAAAGAAATACAAATGAAATCTGAAGGAGACACAATGGGAATCTGAAGAGACACATAACATTCATGATTTTTTTTATCATTCCTCTTTCATCAGAATAGTGTGAACATAATTGTTGTTTAAACGTAGACATTTAATCTTCATTTGCCACTGGTAAAACTGGTTTTTAAATTGCTCAATTCGCGCCTTTTTTATATCACTGTAATGCTTGCAAACAGACGTTGCTCCATTAAGAAGACGGGAGTCTGGTTTACTAACACTCAGTAAGTTCACAACTGAACTTTGATGAAAGTAAATCAAATGTTCAAACGTTTTGAAATTAATCAAATCGATGGCTTTTTTGCATGTTTATGGCGCTTTAGCGCTTCCTGTCTTTCTGACGGAGTGGCAGACTGAATAGACTTTCTTCTTTGGACAAAGAAATGTTAAAGAAATCGTTTTTAAAAACTAATTCGTTTAACTCACATTCTGTGACGATATCTCTTATTCCACAACTCCTGTTCGCGCATCGGCGTTCGGCTCCATCTGAAACGCGCGCGCTTCACCATGCAATTAATCCCCGCCCGAGGGCGAAGTCATGGGGGAAAGACATGGCTCGTATCCGATTTCAGCCATCGAGCCCAGGGACGGTCATGGTTTTTGAATTGATTTGAATTCATGCCTTACTTTACGTGGCGTTTTTGAAAATTGGGAAGGCTGCAAATTCTTGAGCTCCGCAAGTACGTGAGGGGTGAAGCGTGGGGGGGGGGAGGCACAACCAAATTAATGTTATATCCTCATAATATTCGATTTACCTTAGTTTATTTAAACATTGTAGTTCTACACATTTTCTCTTCCGAACAGGCATAACGGAGTTGCGCCCCTACCGCGTATCGGGAAAAACTATTCGCTGCTACTCGCTGAGCTGCACACTAATGCTATCTGGTGTGCACGCCCTTCTTCAGTGTAGACACCACCCGGCCGCAACCTTCGTCCGCCGGTAAGCCTATGCAATGAATTCATGATGTCACGCCTCCTCCTTTTAGACAGGCCTTAAAACGGAATGAAATGGGAGCCTAACACTTTTCTCTTCCCTGTCAATAGCTTGAAACGCGTTACGGCGGGCCGTTATCGAACCGCTGATTTGATCTTTACATAATATGTCGCAGAAATCCATTATTAATGAGTAAATAATTTATAAATATATTTTTTAATTTCTTTTGAGCTATGATTTCTGTAGAGGTCTCCGCCTTACAGGCTTTCATGACGAGCCGTGCCTGTTGGCGTCATAATATTAGCTGGAATTTTAAATGCCCAAATTATCACCTTGTTAAAAGTTACTGACACAGATTATGAAGCACTTTTTTAATATTACATCTTTTATTTCAATAGCACCTTAATCGTGTTATTTTTGGTAGATCACCGTTTCAAAATTGTCAATTTATGCCACTTTCAAAACGTTTCACACTTCCCCCTCTCCATGCAACATGGCGGCCAACAATCCGAGCACCGGAGGAGCCCGCTCGTCTCTTCTCCAGCGCCAAGCGAGGGCACCGCTCCTTACCTTCGGAGGCGGCGGGGCCGGGGCCGGGGCCGGGGGCGAGGGCCGAGGTGGAGGCGGCGAGGGCGGCGCCCGGCGAAGGGAAGGCGGGCGCGTCCAGCGGCACAGGGCTGGGCGGCGGCCAGGCGGCGGGCGGCAGGCGGCCGGGCGTGGGCGGCGTCGCGGCCGAGCTCTCGTTGTGGCTCCAGAAGTACATAAGGTCTGGCTGAAATCAACGCCACAACACACCTGAGGCCTGCTCTACAGAAGGTGCGAAGCCCTACACATCATTTGCGAAACGGAGGACCTTCACAATGCTCTTTTGCACTGCATCTCGAATATTATACTCTCAAAACACGCTACGACGCTGGAATGGTTTGGAGATCCAATTTAAAATAGATCAATAATTTTTAAATACTCCTATTTTAACAACGAACAGGGCGGTGACAATATTTAATACGTAGAGCATTTTAAAACAACTAACATGAACAAGAACTTGGTTTTTGCGGAACTCAGCAATTCTGTGCGGTTTCGTGGAACACACTTTCAAATGCTGCGTTAGGACAGCCGACTTCGCCAACCGCCCCAATTAACAGATATATCTAAAAATGTGGCGCATTACTGACCGAAAAGTTTACGCGGGCGAAGCCTATCCCTGAATATATGATGCAGGCGTATATATTTTTGTAGGACATAAACACGTAACATACGCATTCTCGAATTATTAACATCGTTAAATTCACAAAGCACATTTTTATCACTGGTCTATAAAGTTAGCATACATGTTCGTACAACCACATAGATATAACTTTTCACTAGGATTTGCTTGATGCACCGGATGCAGCATAATGCCGAATGAGGACCAGCCACGGAATGGTTGGAGGCACCCCTGCTGCCGTCCAGAAATAAGGGGAGGCATTGCACTATATGCTTCCATAACGTTAATTACAGTTTTTCATATTGAAAACAAATTAAATTAAAATTCTGAAAGTTTATTTTATTTCCAGCTAAACATTCGTATTTATTCTTAAATACTATTTACACTGAACTTACTTCCAAATTTATTTTATTATAATGTTTTACATATCCAGGTCTAACACACAACACTATTTACATCATTTGCAACTTAAATTTCACAGTTTGAACGTTCGAGACACTTCTGCTTCTCTTGCTTTTTATTTAGACACAAACACATGTGCGGGAACATGCGGAGAATATTTGGAAGAGCATGGAAGAGTATGAGGAACATATGAGAGGAATATGAGTAGGAACATGAAGGAAAACGTGGGGAACAAGCGGGGTAATATGTATTGTAACTTTCGGTCATGTCCTAGGAGAATGTTTTCAGGACGTCTGAGGAAACAGTTGGGTCACACGTAATACACGTATGCGGAAAACGGTAAGGAAACATGAAGAAAAAGCTGTGGGAAACATGCTTGAAGAATGGGAGGAACTTACGGGGATCATATAGAGAACGTGCCGGGAATATGCCAGACATTTGCGAGACACAAGATAGTGACAGGAATAAGTGGGAGAACCTGGAGTAAAACATGAGGGGCGTAAGTTACGCCCGAATTATGTTTTTTTAAATAGTATTCTACAATATGAGAACCTAATACACCTCCACCTTTTTCTGGAGATTTAGCTCTTCTAGGCACTCACACCCCGCCCTTAGCATGCATGAGTGATCATCATCGAGAAGAACCTCGACATCTATGTAAAATTAAATTGACTTGTCAATAGGCCCGTTATGGGTTTAATGGCTCAGGGATGGCTGTTCGGAATTGTGATCTAGTACGAGCCAATTTCATTTTAAAAAGTTTTATTCAATTCCGAATGTATGCATGGCTCTTGCTTAATAATAATAATAATAATAATAATAATAATAATAATAATAATAATTATTATTATAATTATTATTATTATTATTATATTATTATTATTACAATTATAATTTTTATTACGAATGTTTTTGTTCCTTTCTTAATGCCGATGTGTAAATTAGTAAAGTATTGGTTACCTTGATAACCCTAGAGAGAATTTTAAAACTATAATTGGGTATTCCGTGATGCCTCAACCATTATCTGATCAGTCTCCCTTGACTACAAGAACTTTAAGAACAAAAGAATGAAAATGTACTCACTCTGAACAATGTATCCATCGGTACATCTTTATCCGGTATTTGACACAGGACTCCAGCAGCCAACAGATGCGTGCAAAACTGCACAGCAAGAATGCGTAAGTCTTGCATCGTTAATGTAACTCTTATATAACTCTCTTCAGGAAAGGACGACACAAACCAGTTTATGAGCATTTGTCCTGTAATAAAAAAGTAAGTTATTAAGCAGTTGCTTATGGCATAGGCTATAACATCTATGTTTAAAGAAATACGAAAAATAACAATGAATTAAATTTACAAGCTCTGTGTTTTACGATACAAGTTATCACATAGGGAAATCGTTTTTTTAAAAAGACACATTCGAGGCAAGAACGTGCACACACAATGTAAAATATAATTTGGAAACAACAAAATGTCAATATGGCCTTCATTAACCTACACCACTCATCAGTAAACTGCACAAGGAGAGCAGGATTTAAAGATTGTTTAATAGGTCTCTCGTTGTGGGGGCGGGTAGAGGTAAAGGTGGTTATAAGAGCCATGTATATAATATGAGCTCCCTTAGTATCTGTTCATACATCGCAAACACTCTTAGAAGGAACGATTTTAACAACTAGTTTAGTAACTCCTTTTGCCATCATAGCTCTGAGAGCTAATGTGTAAACAGAGGTGTTCGTGTTTTCTCGGTTTTAAAAACTTTGAAAGGTAAGTCTTTGGTTTTTAATTACAGGTTGATTTGTTTAGACCAATTCTAATTCCTAACGAATGAAATACAATGTTTCAAACATGATACAATCTGTAATTTCGAACGTAAGAAAGAACGGTTTTTTGTTTGCATAATTTTAAGATGGCGATGGTTGTAAAATGAGCCCCGAGCTATGGTGGGTGGGAATTTTAAGGGGCTCCTGTTACTTACACTAAAACTTGTGTTTGCACTATTTTTATTTTAGATGCTACGAAACGTCCAATGCTACGAATGATCAAAAAACAAAAGGAAAAACTTGAGAACTGAAGACATGGTTCAAGCAAAGCAGTTACGAGTAAGGAAATGGATGGAAGGCTTTCAAAAGGTTTCTCGTACCAAGACCTACTCCTCAAAGGTTTGTTCGTGTTGACGAACCTTGAACAGTTTTAACTAAATTAGGAAGAAATCCATTATTGGGGAATGAGCTGGAAGAGTTAGTCCAGTATTTGCTTGTCATGGAAAGTAAACTCTACGGCCTCCCCAGAAAACATGTTGGCAGGGTAGGGTAGCAACTTTGTGAAAGAAATGGAATTAAAAAAATATTCACTGAAGATGCATTGGCTGATGGGGCTTGGTTCAACCATTTTATGAATCGCTAAAAGTATGTTTTAGCTTCACAGGCAGCCCTTATCACATCATCTCCATACAAGGAGGCTCTTATGGCGGGTGGAGAAAAAACATATGTCTGCATACACAAAAAACCGTAAAATGGAAAGACCAAACAAAACAGACTGATACGAAAACCCAAAACACACCTGAACAAGGTTTCAAACGGAAACTTCTTGAAGATGATGATTCGGAACAATCAGACAAATTCATCAATTCAGGAGACTGTTTGGGGGAGGGGGGGTTGAAAGTATCTGTGATAACAAAACCACTTATTTGTTTTGAACCTCTTTCAGAACCCCAGTGTGAAGAATTGTGGCTCCAATACATTGTGTGAAATGCGGACATCAATTGACGTCCTCTGCCAACTAAGTCGGTGGACATGACTACTTCCGTGCTGCTACTACCTTCGAACTTCTCGTAGAGCTGGAAGTTGAGCTTCTCCGGCACGAAGCGCGGCTTGGCCACGCGCTGCTCGAGGGTGCCGCGATCCAAGGTCAGGCTGGCCACCTTGCGCAGCACGTTGCTCTCCAGCGGCGCATCGCTCACGGAGGAGTGGCGCCGGTAGTCCCTCGGGTCGCTGCCCGCCGCCGCCCCCGCCGCCGCCGCGTCCGCCGCCTCTCCTGCGGGCACCGCACGACACGTCATGGGCGTCCTTAAGACACATCCGGTGACATACATTTTTATCGCTTATAGTGAGGAACTCTCATAAGTGTGAAATGTAAATATAAAGCAATGGATCTTCACCTAAGATTGTCTGATATTTTACCGTTCTCAACCTGACAATCCGTTTTTGTTTCGTACTAACATTATTACAACATTAATATTACATTACATAAAAGTCACATTAATATTACTTTTCTGGGCCATTGTAATTGGACTGTTTTTTTAAATCGCTAAATTAAAACGTTATCTTCCACGTAAACAGACCATTCTCCTCCACAAGATTAACACCAATATCAGTACCACGAAAGCGAAGAAGATCAAATTAAGTACACAATGTGTTGATATTATGATCTGCAGGCCTCGTCAAATACTATACAGGTCACACCGTGTTCGCTCACCTCAGCACGATGAGAACATTTGCACAATAATGAGCTTTCGGGAGAGGTCGCTTGCCTTGGCCATTGCCTTTCGTAAAATACACAGGGAAAGCGTTAGCAGATTTTTCCTCTTCTACAGATGAGGTGATTATTAGAATAATATTTGCGTGAATGGGAGTCTCTTCTTTCGTACCCTTTGCGAAAGGTGCTTCAAGGGAAAACCGATAAGTGACCTGCTCGTCTCCGAAAGAAAATTTGTCTCAAACACTTCTTACACTAGTTTCATTTCTTACACATTTCATTCGGCTTCTCTCAAAACAAGGGTCACATGCTTCATCCGAATTAGGAGATAGACTGCATTTGGAGGAGAGAATAGACGAGCAACAGTATGGTGTTAAGCACGTTTATTGTATTCCAGCATTATAAAAGAACCTTTTCTGTTGCACGAAATCGTTCATAATCGGGCATTTTACGACACAAATGATGACGTACGGGGGGAGGTACAGCTAAACGGAACAGCCGACCACCGTTTACTCACACGATGTCAAATACCTGAGTAGTCACAGGAAGTTGTTTCGAAAAATTACGTTTGATTCTCTTATAAATCTATTATGCTATTATACAAAAAATATAGTGTGCAGTTCGATTACAATTTTGCTTTATTACATTCGTACAAATGTGAAAACTCGCACCTAAATTGGCTCATTTTCAAAACATGTACTCATGCAATAAAGCTTAACATTATAAACTAATTGCATAAACTACTATTATGCGGCACGGTACGATTAGGATATCGTTTTTGATATCTATTTACCGCTCTTGCCGCACTGTCGTCACAAAAACCGTAAACATAAATCATGTAATATATTCCTCGTTGTCCTGAATTCACGTGCGAAATCAACGTTGCAATATTAAAAAATATAAGGTAAGCATATAAACGACCCCCGTTTCAGAATTTTTCAAAACAAGCGGCAGTGGTGCGCTCACAAGTGTTGTTTTCGAATGTCGCGGAATATTTGTACAGCTTATGTAAATGTACAGCTTGTCCTCCCCTCTTAAAATGTTACTACTATAAATGTATGTAAATTCAGTGGTTAGGCGGAAGAGCAGGCCCTATGGCCTGAGCCTCGCCATTAATAAAGACATTATTATTATTATTATTATTATTATTATTATTATTATTTGTTGCAAGTTGCTCCATCGCGGGTTTTCCAGCTCTACCAACTTTTTCACTTTAACACCGAATCATTAAACAAATTAATCATGTGAATAAGGCTTCTATTAACAATAATTTGCTGTTATTATTACTCAAAACAATTCGAAAAGTAACGTTTCGTTGTGTCCTCTTTTGACTCTGTACTTGTTTCCATATACATACTATAACAGTGGCGTGCAGCAGCAAACTACTTCTGAACAAAACCACACAAATGATTTTACAAAATGTAACACGCACACTTTTCAAGAAAAATAATTAAAATACTCTTGTATAACTTTGCAATAAAATAAACATTTTAACAAAAACAGTATTTTTGAACACTGCAAAAAACACGGTAGTGTATCATATATACAGTACAACAGTCTTTACATGCGAAGAATATACAAATGTGCTCTTCTACAACGCAACACGTAAATGGCAGTTATTTAATAAGAGGTGACCTCTTTCTTGGAGCCTCGTTGTCGCTTGACAGCAGTGTCGGAAGTATAATTCATTTTTTGTAAGGGGTATTTGCGGAGAGGGAGACATAGACCATAGTTCCGCACCAAGATTTTCGACTCAAGTTTCCTTTAAAGCCAACCCCGGCGCGGGTCTCGGGGGTGTTATAGAGCAGACGCGCCCCGCGGGCGACCCCGGAAACACCTGGGTGTGATTCTCACTTTCTCCGCCAGATGTTCGGCCTCAATTATCAGTATCCGAACTGTCCGGATGGGAGAAACTGAATACACGCACCCGACCGCCAGCATCCCGGTGTCCCCGCACTGATGGAGAAGTCGCCAGCTCCGTGATCTACGAACCGACACCGGACAGCTTCGAGCACAGGGGAGATTTGATCATTGCGGACCCGATGCGATCGCACGCTCTCGAGCTTCCGACAAGCCCAAGCCGCTAGCAGAAGACCATTGGGGAGGATGGCATCAACACAAACGGCACAGGCTACTCAAATGACATTGGACCGGCACCAACCTGAAATCAAGTACTGGAGACGGAGGCCACGCGAGTACAGTCTAGAATATATTCTCCATCTACTTATTGTTTTCTTATTAACAATTAGTTGTAAGTTGTAGTGAAATCGAAAGAGGGGCTGTCAATGACGAAGGGCGAATAATTTCGAGGGAAAACAATATACAAACTCTCCACGAGCGGGTCATAGTGACGATACAAGAGGGTGAGGGAGGACAACGCCCCTTCGCCATCTGACCGAAGGCAATGCCTCTAGCCTAGGCGCGAAAGTGAACTAGGCACACTTACCTAATAATTTTACGAAGTCTGGGCTTTAAACTAACTTCCTTAGGTTTAGCATGCTATGAGCACATAGGAGTATCCTTACACTGCACCAAATTGCTCAGGGTGCATTACCGTTACGACCCGTTAAAAAGGAATTTAAAAAAAAGCAACACTTTTTCAAAACGTTTTTAAATACATTTACTGGGCTCTCTTAAGACAATAATGAAATGCTTTAGAAATCTTGGCATAACAGCAAAGCTGAAATTCATTCAAAGCAAATAATATGAAGTGAAATAATTATTTTAAAATTCTTTTGGTATTCGATTAACATTCATAATGATTATTTCTTGTTCTGCATGAAAGCGCACCCCTTCCGCGCAAAAAATCGAAGTGAGCTTGCTGTTGATTGAGCAGTCGTTGCCATTTCAGTATTCCACGCATTAAAAAGATAAACTAAACAATCAAGGACCGAACTCGCCGCCCACCAAATGAGACGCTGTGTAAAAAACCAGGCAATGTGTCAGGCACGATTGGAAGTTTCGTAACAGATTCCCACATGTGAGTTACACTATCTATCAAGCCGTAACACAAGAGCTAATTAGTGCTGGGATCCCTCTCCGATACCTCGGAGCCCTTCACGACAGGTCTGTTAGACAAAAATAAAGTAGATATTACTGAACTTTCGAATACAGACGAAACAAAAAACGAATCAAGGAACGCTAGAAAATGCTACTTCTCCCTCAAATGGTCGGGTGAACTATCTGGTTTTGCACATACATTGAGGTTCTAACGATTTGAACTAATAGAAATGAATATAATTTTTCTAAAATGGTTCTATGGTGTTTTGCAGCTGTCATGTTAACGTTGCTTTTATATTCATGAATTTATAATACTAATGCATATTCCTAAAACCCTACATTACTAAATATAGTCAACCCGTCCTATTTTGGTAGAAAAGTTTGAATGACTGTTCTGGACATTCTGGAAGGATTCCAAAAGCGTTTTCACAATTAATTCAAAGGACAAGCGCACATCCGCGTTTCTACTCGCGTTTATCTTTTATAATTATGTATTACTTTTTTAGCAGAAAAACCCTTCTATGGATGGAGTAGGAGATTGCATCATGCACATTAATTTATCTACACGGAGAATTTGCGTAAGTAAGTATCAAAATTTTCTTCATTCACAAATGTTACCACTTTTCTAGACGATTTGTCTTAAAACGATTCAATTCTGTTAAAAACAATCAAAGCACGTTTTTAAAAAACCCAGTTATATTATTAAACCCAAAAATATTAATATCCAAGTTAGCACATTAGAAAAATTCTTCAATTCACAATCAAAAGCAAATATTTCCAATTAATCAAAAGATTCTCTTCAAATGTAAGAACCGCCATGCAACGGATACGACATGAAGCGGGCGGATGAATTCCGTGAGCGGCGGGGTGCTTTCAATTTGATCCTCTACTATGGGTGAAACTTTTTCTGCAATTTGGTGGCTGTTTCTTAGCTGTTTTTACTAATACTGTTAATATATTTAAAGATATTCCAATTTTTTCTCAAATCCGCCCTCTCCGTCAGACCAACGAAAAAACCTGATGGAGTTAAAATCGATATTACTATTCGCAGAGCCGGATGGTTAAGATCGTTAAGGAAGTAGTGCTGAAGTGATTCAGAACGAAGGATCGCGGGTTCTATTTGTGTCCAGCCTTTCACCCCTTATCATCACCACATAAAGTGATCTTAAGAGTTACCATAATGTTAAATGCGGTAGTGGTCGCTAATGAACTACTTGTTAATGTGACCTTAAATAAAAAAAATATTACTGTCCATTTTAATGCTCGGTTTAGTCTCCAATTCCAAAGAAACGCGTAAATATATAGTCCCAACTTGAGTAAGTTATTTTGACACGACTGATTCGTAAATAGAGACAAACTACTGGAAGAATTCCTAGCTTAATAAAAGAAGGATGTCAAAAATCTCTCTTGCCAGATCTCCACATCTCTCTATCTCTCCCTCCATCTCCCTCTCTATCTCTCCCTCCATCTCCCTCTCTATCTCTCCCTCCATCTCCCTCTCTATCTCTCCCCCCATCTCCCTCTCTCCCTCTCCCCCCATCTCCCTCTCTCCCACCCTCCATCTCCCACTCTCTCTCTCCCTCCATCTCCCTCTCTCTCTCCCTCCATCTCCCTCTC